CTAAAGTTTAACTAGTGCTGAAAAAAATTTTTAAAACTATGTGAACCATTGGATAATCAACCTAAATTTTCTAAACCTGCTGACCATTTACCAAAGAACACCATTGATCAATCCAATGCCTTGCGAATTATCCACTGAAATATTGTGTTTCTTCATCTTCAGAAGGGAATGGGTGCAAAGAAGGGGAGAGGATTACTTATCCAAAAATCTGGTGGGACCTATGGCCAAAGAAATACCTTAAAACCTTTAGTGGGATTAACAAATCCAGTCCTATAGGTAATATCATCTTCAAGCATTTGCTGCTTATTTAAGAAGGCGCAAAACTTCCAAAGGTAGATTCAGTCTAGAGGAGGTTCTTCTATTCTGGTAAATATTTCCAACTAGTACTTTCATTACGAGTAAGAATTGTAGGTATCACTGGTAGCTTTAAAGTCTTTTTTAAGGGTGAGGTTATGTCAGGAGCCTTGGTGTAGCTTTGGTTTCAGGTCCTCCAGCAAACCATGAATCAGGAGTAAAAAACCCACCGGTTGGAAAAAACTTCCTATCCACCTTGTTTATTTTTATAAGAAAAAGAACAGATCTTTACCTATCTGTAAGAGCAAAGGGAATCTACTTGACGCCAAGGGTAGGTGACTTCAATTCCAAAAATGATTGAAGTGTCTTGTGACCTTTTTCATAATCGGATGGACTCTTTCCTGTTTCCTGAGATGTGTTAGGTACTATATTCTATATCCACCCATGTGACTGGCATGCAATTTATGGTGGACTCCAGGTTCTTATGGGAACTGAGGAAATACATTCAGATACGTGAGGTGGCCAATAGGAGCTTGTTTACATCTTGGATCACTGACATGTTTCCAATGTCCAATCACAACGCCAGAAACTTTGTGCTACTCAAAATTCAGGATCAAACTGAGGTAGGCAAAAATCTCCAGAGAAAACTGTAAAAGAGCATTATTAGAACCTACACAATGACAAGAGAGTGGTGAGGTTGTCTTCTAAAGAGTCTCTCATTACAAACTGGACTCTGTGATGTTTCTGAGGTAGATGAAAAGGAGATAGAGAAGTCTGGTCTACTTCCTTTCAGAACTTTCTTGCCATTAGTAAAAAGGATAGAATTGTCTTTCTGGTCACTAGAAGACAAGTTTTTTATAGCAAGATATAAAAAAGAGATAGTGTGGTGGTGAAGCGACTCTTGGGAACCTTGTTTTCAAGTTGGTTTAAGGAAAGTGATAAGACTTTGTTAGCCTAGAAGTATAAAACTTCTTGTGAACATCTTTTTTGTATGTGGTCAGAGAATCAACGAAAAGAGTGATTTTAATAGAGAAACAAATAAATAATTATAGATATAATAATTATATTAATTTAAATTTAATAAAAATAAAAAATTATAAATTATAAAATTTACAAAAAATATTTTGGAAAGTTTACATATAAATTTAAAGTCAAATTTATTTAATTGAATTTAAGTCAAATTAATTTAAACAAATTTAATTTAATTAAGTAAATTAAATGAAATTTAAATCAAATTTAGATTAAATTAAATTAAATTACATTCAGATCAAAAAACAGATTAAATAAATTAAATTTGAATCCAATTCATATTTATAAAAATTAGATCAAATCAAATTTAATTAGAATTTGATTTAATTTATCTATTGTGATTACTATTTTTTATCATTATAATTCAATATATTAAAATTTGCTTAATATATATTAGCATTATCAATACTAGAAATCTCTTATATTAACTATATAATAGGTTAATAGAAAAAAATTTTTTATAAAGAAAAAATAAATAAATAAATAAATGATTAAAAAAAATAAAAAAAAATAAGAAACATTTAAGTATTTTATAATAAATAGAAAAAAAAGAAGATAAAAAAAATTTTAACAATAACTTTACAATTCAATTTTGTTTTTATATTTTATTTTTTTTATATAATTTTGTTATTTATAATAATTATTAAAAGATAAAAAAGCATATTTACAAATTTTTAAATATTATGTAAATTTTTATTTATATTTTTACTAAACAAGAATTAATTAATTCAAATTTTTAATCAATTAAACTAATTAAAATCTAATGCAACAAAAATTTTGAGAATAAATTAAGATAGATAAAATATTTTAAGAAAATTAAGAAATTTTGGTACATACTAATAAAGAAATTGTTACCTATAATTAAATACTAGTTTTCATGTTAAAAAAAAGATAAATAATTCTAATGCTTTTTTTAAATTTTATAATCTTCATAAACAAAATTTAGAAATATTATAAATCAAAAGTTTTTATTATAAAAAATTATCTTAAATAGTTTTTTTATAATTATTAATTTAAAATTTTTAATGTTTTCTAATAAAAGATATTTGACTTTTGTTTTTGTTTTCTCTTTTAGGGACCTATCTTTAGTCATAAGTAATTGAGTTTAAGATTTCAAAGATAAAAATAAAAATAAAGGATTTATTATTCACAAAATATAAAATTTTGAAAAAACATTTTTTTGAAAGTATTAATTCAAGAATCAATAGTAAGATATAAAATTTATTCATATTATCTTCTAAGTTGTATCCAGAAAAAATTAATTTCAATAATAGATAAAGTAAAATATGAAAATAAAAAATTTTTCTATTGTCTTTATATCGAAATGTTATGATAGTGTCACGTGAATATCTGGTGATATCCGAAGGGAAACCTCATTTGTGCATTACCAAGCCGCATCATTGGATCCCTAGGCATCTTGTGCAATTTTATAATTTCGCTGGATTCCGAGACGCTTATTATTATGTTAGTACACTTATGGTTATAAATTTCTTTGACAATATTATTGAGATTTTTTCTTTTTTTTATTTAGAAGCAACACATCCAAACATCTAAATTAAATGCGTGTGTAATTGGATTTCAATAAAAAAGAAAAAAAAGAAACATCCAAAAATGATATTCTCGAAGCTCGAGTCGAAATCCAAGCCACCCAGGAATTGCACAACAGTTCGTGCGTTTAGTATTTTTTGCTTCGACATCAAAATTCCTATTCCTACTTGCTTCGGTAGATGAAAATTGAATATACGTATATATATATATATATCGAAGATAAAACCACAATTAGGTATGATAAAGGTGGATCATCAACAAAAATACTAAATGGAGAAAGAAAAGAGTGTGTTGATTCGTATCATTCGAACTAGTTTCCAAAAAAAAAGAAAATAATTAAGTAAAAATGTCACTTCGTTACCTCAGAACTTTTCTTCGCACCATTTCTAAGCACCTGACCGATTCCTTAAGAATTCAACCGTACTATTCGGAGCGGTTGTTATTGAAGCTTGAGCGGGAGTCACATTGGGGGCGTGTGGTAGTGGAGCCTTGCTAATGGAACTACTGATGATATCGATCAACCTGCCGAAGGAGTTTTGCGCCGTTACAAAAGCGCAAGTTATTAAGTCGATAACGATCAGAAGTACGAGAGGGGCTATCAATATCGCAGCAAATAAGTAGACGACGTATGTGATTACTTCATACATCTTTTTCAGAATTCAAGAAAGGTTTAGATTATTTATCGATCGAATTGTGATTAAATTAAGAGGAAAAGAAAAGAGAAAAGTGTATATGTATATTTTCGCAAGTGCGTAGTGGGAAGAAAAAAAAAAAAAAAGTAAGCGATGGAATGGTTGGTATTTGTATTAAAATAATTATAGTAATTGTATAAATAATTTACAATACAGCGTAATCAATACTCAAATGATCTTTTGTGTCATTGAATGTGTGAGAAAAAAGCGATATAAGCAATAGGCAGGTTCCGGATGTTTATTTGCAGATTATTATTATCCTCTGAAAATATGTTGTGTAATCCGTGGCTCTTTTGAGATTACCTGAATAAGGATGTCTATTTATACTAATTATGTCGCTGACGTGACGAATTTAAACGGAAAATTTGTGACACGTAGGTGCGTACATACACTCGCGTTTCTTTGAGTATAAGGTCTCGTTCTCACACCATTTTCTCTCCATTTTCGGTGGGTGATGGTGGACAACAATGAAGAAAGGAATAAAAGAGACGACGACTTTTTATTCTATATTGGCACATTTGTTTTGCCCTCTGGTCAAGATGGACGAACTCTTGATGTGATTGGTTGATTACCATCGATAGGCTCTTTTAGAATACCTGGTTCAATCGTCTCGTTTAGGATTAATTCTATCAGATATCAAGACTAACCTTAAATTTTATTGTCGCTTAAAGTTGAACTTATTATTCATCGTCGATCCGTCGAGGATTTTGCAGATTGTCTAAATTATGGTACAATAAAAATTATGTTGGTTTGCTATTATAAAGCCACCATTTGCATTATTTCCGCTTACAGTAAAACTCACGATTCGAATTTTGGAATTGGATTTTTCAATAATACATTCCCTTCTGCCTACAACAATCTCGCTGGTTTCATTCTTGTTTATCCGCTCCTTAAATCTAAATTCCGATGTGAAACCCAATTTCAACTTATTGCCGCAGCATTCGGAAAAAAGAAAGAGATTACAGGTTACTATCTTTTATAGAGAATAAATGAACTCTATAAGGAAGAATATGTATGATGACGAACCAATCATCTCTCCACATGTGAACCTTTGCAATCACATGTTCTATCGCGGTACTTACGCAATTAAATTCCTCACTCACGTATGATGCATTTTGTGTGTCGAGGAGGCGTTCGTGGTCATCTGATTTTCCGTCTATGCGTAACGGAGTGACGGTGCACAAATTAGGCTATTGTTGAAAGCCTAATCAAATATCAAACACGCAGTGTCATCGGAAAGACGTGTTCCCTACCCCACTTAATTTACAAAACGGTGGTTTCATTTGAAATTCTCACGAAAAGAAGCACTGTGAATTGTGTCAGTCATACGCGTAGATATTTTCCGATCACGTGGTAATATTCAATGAAATGTTATTTTAAAAGAATGAATAAATAATAATTCTATCTCCCCATTTTTTTCTTTTCTTTTTACAATGGTTACATAATGCAAACATTCTTTGTACTAAATTTTAGGCTATTCCGTCGCATCATTTTCTTTGTCTGCGTGACGGACAGGGATTGTTGCTTTTGTTGCAATTGTTGATAATTATTATAAACCAAGGTTCTAAGCTTGCGGAGAATTCGCTCGAGACCCACCCACGCCGTTTTATAAATTAACCAACCTAATATTACAAAGATGTCTATTACAGTCACCACCCAAGGTATGTGATTTATCACGAATGGACACGAGGAATAATTATATTCAAATTCTGTGAAGAAGAATGTTTTTTTTTTTTTTTTCATTTAGAATTAATCATAATCGAAATAAGAATCAGGGAGAACACGAATTCAAATACCTTCGCTTCCGTCACTCTTAATCTTTCTGTGAATTTCAAATAGTCCGGCATTCCCGCCAAACTCTCCCATAACCGACCTAACTGTGACCTCTCTAACCACCCACGTATTTTCGTCTATGCTCCCATACCAATCGAGCTGCCGTTCCTCGAGGGTACCCTTGTTTACGCCGAGAATCTCGGTCTTTCTCATCTCAAAATCGGATGTCTGGTAAGCTTCCATCGAATACTCTCCTCCCTCATTCGTGCGTATGACGTGGGTAACATCGCATCCTTCGTGATCGTGCCCCGTGAATATGAACTTGGGTTTGAGTTTGGTAAGAATGAATTTGGATGCGTTCTGCGACAGATGATTCTGTTCTTTGATGAAATCGTGTCTATTCATTATATATGCGTGTTAAGCGAATGATCTCGGAGTGTGTATGCGCCAATCGCCAATGACAGTCAGCAAGAATCAAACTTACTCGTCTAAAAGAGTCATCGGACCATCGACACATAGTCCTTCTCTCTTGTATAACGGAATATGCGTCGACAAGATTAACGGAGTTTGATGATCATCGTGTTCACGTTCTTCGGCTAACGCGTCAAGGAAAGACCACGTCTCGGAACGCAATTGCTGAGTAGTCGAAGGGTTTGTGTTTTTTTTTTCATCTTGGTCAACGCACGACCGCTGAAACGATTCAAACAAAGTCTTTCTAGCGTACCTCGTTTCGAGCTGGTCCATCTATGTTCATGGAATTTATGACGGCCAATCTGTGCACCTTGGAATTTTTCGGATTTTCCGCTGATTCCACGAGTGGTATCCAACTATTAAAGTTTACTTTACCAAATTCCCTTTCCCACCTATCCACCCTATGTTGAGATATGTCCCCACTGTACCCTATATCATGATTTCCAGTTAGATTTATAAATTCTTGTTCATATTCCTACAAGATGCGACTTGATCAGACTGCTGCGTGTCAATCGATAACACATGATTGATTCTCCTAATAGTTCACACTCACCTTTCTTGGATCACCAAATATCCATTTATACCTATTTACCCGTTTCTCAAATTCTTGATTATCGATCCATTGACTCGAAAATAAATCACCAAGCACTATGGCGTGTGTGGGCTTTCGCGTGAATAGAGAGTAAGGAGATACGAAGGAGGTGTAGACGTGTCGGATATAGATGTCATTGCGAACGGCTTCATAAATTGTAATTGGAAGGAAAGAAAAAGAATAAGAATCTTTTCCATTGGTCAATAAACGAATCAGGTGAAATTG